CAAACGGATGTCGTTTTTTTTAATGAAATGCAATTGGCGAGCTGCGCATTTACACTCCAAACTGAGAGAGAGGGGGATTCAATACATGTTAGTCCCACCTGATTTGAGAGGGCATATCTAAGCCTCGCCCCAGTAATATTAACCACACAAATAGCCTAAAGCATGAGCCAAATTAAAAAGTGTTATTTCCCTTCTTCCTGTTTCTAGACATTTAATCATTTTTGTTCCTCGGTGTTTACACTGCGCGCATAACCCTTAGATTAGACACATTTAGAACCATATACAGGACATAAATAATCACGTGATTCTTGGCCATATAACAGCATCATTAAAGATGGGCTGCTCCTGCTATTTTCATGTAAGACGCTGGAATTTACAGTGGCACACTAATGAACAACAACAATAACAGTCTTTACCTTAATCTGCCTAGTTTTTATCCTCTACAGACTCACAGGCTTGATGTACCTCAAGGCAATACAGCTGATCCTGAAAAGGTCAATGTATGATATTATTGAGTTTATTTAATTTTTGATTTTTTTTTTTATTTGTAGATTTCTTGCTTTGCATTATTGCTTCCAATCCTCCTTTCATAATGATCACTTCTGCCCTCAGACTATAGTAGACTGGCTCATGTTGAACCGCTCGTAGCCCAAAAAAGAAGTGGCTTAAATCCAAATTCAACAGAAGCGGTCAGGCTGCCAGGTTGTCCTCATTAAAACAAACACATTTCTGTTTGTTTCTGTTGTTATTTTCTGTATAAAACCAGAAAACTCAAGAATCAAGAAACCTGGGAGGTTTGAGTTCTGCTTCTCCTCTCGTAGGCTTCTTTAGTGTGGATGTTTGCCGGATGAACCACGAGGGGGCGTTCAACCTTGGGCAACACGCCCGCGCGCACACGCACGTGCGCACAGATATACACATACACACACACACACACACACACACACACACACACACACGAGCAAATGCAAGACGTACAGAAACTTTACCACCAACATGGTTTAACTTAGGAGTCTTCCCAGCAGTCCAAGTAGAGGGCCCTCAGCAGAGCCACGATGCGCAGGCCTACACTAGAAGCATGTGACAATATAGGATGAGTGTATATCTGCTGTTTTGGCTGTTAAATAAGCCACTCTGTTCCTCTAACCCAGATCTTCAACACTAAATATGGTTTCATGAATCTTCATTGATTCCACGTCCCGGCTCTTTAATCCACTGACAGTAAAATACACCCCGAAGCATTCACGCTAATCCTCATTCATATTTCACATCTGTTTCTTGAGTATTCATGAATTAGGCCTCATACAAATCTGACAGACAGCAAACCAGATTGATTTTGTTTTTATATTCTTTTTTTTTAAGACAAAAAAAAAAAAAAAAAAAAAAAAAAAAAAAAACAGAAAATAAAAGAAATAAACCCGGAAACAGAAGCTTGGATATTTAGACTTGGATCATGCACCAAAGACATTGGGCCTACATTTAGGCCACATATGAATGAAAGCAGCAAAAGACAATATATAGACAATGGCAATGACTATGGGAGACACTGCTGCGAGAAAATACTCTGCAAACTCTATTTTTCATATCCATGGTCCAATATACAGATTTGTTCAATTTAAAATGAAGATCCTTTGTATTTCTCTGCTTTTACAAATATATAAATAAAATTGAAATTTGGCTCTTGAGATCTCCAAACAGGGACTCTAAATCCAAAGCATAGCCATATCATATTGTGCAATTTAGTTTTTCCGTTTCCATTGTATCCGTGCAGCCCGAGTCTGGTTTTATTTATTGAGATATAGACACGAGCGGTTCTCTCCCCACAGAAGTAAATTGCAACCGTCGCCCTTGTCTCTCCGATTTGCAAATTAAATACATAAGCAATTAAAAAATCCAAACACAATCAATCATGTATACAAATTGTTGTTGCTTTAGGGTTGGAAATTTGAAGAAAACTTCCATCAGGGTAGGACGACTTTAATCCGGGGGTCCAAATCCATTACCATATTTCATTACCTCTCCAGTGCTGGAAATGGGAGGATGGGAGGGTGAAGGGGGAGGAGGGAAAGGGTGTGTATACTTTTTAAAACATTAGTAAGAATGTGGTTGAGTCCTGATAATCATTTGGAGGCAAATTGGAGGCAATGTTGTTGTTTAAGTGTTCCATCTTTCCTTCCTTCTCTCCCTTTCCTTTCCCTCCATCCACCATGAAAGCTTCGGCTGTTTTGCTTTTTGCGCCCGAGCCTCGAAACGAAAAAGCAATGAAAAATTAATAGCGCATGTTAACTCCACCAGCTCGTTTATTACACGCCCGCTGACTGTAAACATAATGAGAAAGCTCCCGTATCTCTTCTTAAGTTTTCATTTGCTTATAAAATATAAAAGTCATAACTAATAAATAAAATATATGGACTGGAGAGTGAACCGTCTTGGACTTCCCGAGGTGGAACTCGACTGTGTACCGAGCAGGTAGAAATCACGCTGACTGCTTGTCCCACTCTCAGGCCTAATCAAACGCACCTATTTGTAATCATTTGACGCGGTGATAACGCAAGTAAAGACCAGTCTGTCATCTGTCAGACGGGGGTACAAGGCCCTGCTGGCCACAACGTCGGCCTGTGTTATGATGGGGCACTTGAGGTCAAAATGAAAGTGGGCTATGCCATGTGAGGTCATCTCTCTCTCCTTTTCTCTCTCCCCTCCCTCCCCTCTTACTCTCCTCCACTCTCTATCTCTCTCACCGCAGCTCTTATTGCTTTCCGCTGTGCACTGACGCAACATCAGAAATCTTGTTTGGCCTGTTCTTTGCACAGATTATCATTTCTGTTTGCTGAGCATTTTGGCAACGACTTTAAAATGGGGAATCAGATATCCTATATGAAAAGATACGTACTGTATGACGCCTAAATGGTGAGTGGGGGTAATACCAGAGTTTCCTGTCGTTTCATCATTAAGCTGCAGGGAGGCATACACAGAAAGGGTTGGTTGAGGGTGACACAGTGTAAAGCTGGAACCTAACCTAATTGTTGAGTTTTTTTTTAATAGAGAAAGGAAAGATGGCACATTCTTGGAACACTTTATTTAAATCATCAGTAAAGGATCTTAGATTTCTAAAGACCAGAACAGAAAGTGACTTTTATCTATTTTATCTTATTGGTAAAATAATAATTTAATGTCAGCCACCGGCCCTCTCATCGTCAGACAGTGACTGAAATGGCGGCCTTGCTCTTTTGGAAAGAACCGGCTACGCACTTTTACGCACGGCCAACCTACAGGGCGGGATAAGAGAGAGGGGGGTCTCATTAGATCGACATTCATCCTCACAGATTCTCCTTTGTACCCCAAGCACGTATTTTAAAGTGAGAGGAAATGGAGAGGCTGTAGGTATGGGCCCTGGGCCCTGAAGACTTTACACATCAACAGGGGAGGGCCTCCTTTAAACTCTGATTTCCTCTGTGGTTAAAGGGTTATTATCCAATTGCTACAAATCCCATTGCTTTCACCGTTTATCAGAGGGCAAGGCCCACTCCATAAAAGACTGCAAAGAGGGCATTATTTGTCTTACAGACCAGAGCCATTATTAGATGACAAATGTCCATAGAAGGCCGGGCACAAGATAATTTACTTCTATTTTGAGACAACATGTCGCAATTGGAGTACAATTCCCTGCTACAGCATTGTGAAACTGAATCTGAAGAACACTGACTGCAGTCTGCCCCTCAATAGAAATGCTGTTTCATAATGTTTTAAACATCTGCTGTGCATGTATTACCATATTCTTAGTAACAGGCAATCATTGGGAGCACTAAGGTTGATTTTTGCTTTTCTGGAGAAAAGGCTCTGCACCAGGTCCGATGCCCATTCAGAGAGGCTGATCACCTGCCCACAGTTTCTTAATGACAAACGACGTTTTATCAATGCAGACGCAGCGGGCAGCAATATGAAATGATGTGATATCCATTGGGTGCCATAACAAAGTCGATGGCCTGATCCACCGCTGTACCAGACCCTGCTGTTTTATGAATAGGCCTATAGGAGATGAACCTGTTGAATAAAGTAATGGAGACACACGGGGGCAGAGTCAAGCTCAGACTCAAGCTCAGACTCCTTAATTTTGTTGAAGTTATTTGAGGCTGAACCAGTGAGTAAGTTCAACTTCTGGTCCACAAACATGAAAACAAAAAGTTTCCACCTGCTCATCATCTGACATAAGACGAATTCAAAGATGCTGATTTAAGTAAGGGCCTATTGAGTGAACTACTATTTAACAAATATGAGAACGAATTTGTGAGTCTGTGCAGGCCCGTGCCACACACACACACAAACACACACACTCCAGCACAATATTGCACAAAACCACTGTGCGTTATGTTATAAGCACCAATCATGGTAGCCCTCTCAGGTGATGGTGCACAGACCAACACGTGGAGATGACCTGACGCACAATGTGGTGCCAACCAAAACCAAAAAATTCAGCCACTTTTGCCTCCCCACAATCAAGTGTCAAAAATACAAAAAAGAAAAAAAAGGCTAAACAAAGCCCCTGATACCATCACAATCATATTTTTAACTAGCCAGAATACAACTGCCAAACTGCAAAACTCTCCAGCCTCACATCTTTTTCTTTGGCTCTTTAAAATCTAAAATGTCTACAAAGCCAGCAAAAAGTTTCCACCAACAGACTACAAGCCGATCACCCTGACTCCAAAAGTTTCACAAACTTGAGATAAAACATTCTGACTAGTGTATGAGCAACTAGTTGAAAAACAAATGAGTTAATGTTCGAACTTTTCGTATGAAATGAAGCAGAACACCATTAGAAAGTTGAAAAAATAGGAATTATTCTCAGTAACCTCCACTTCCATAAATAACTTCCACAACATGTGTAAAAGTTTCTCATAAGCAGAACTGTGAACCAACAAACAACAGCTTGTTTAAATGGTAAAAGTGACGGTTAATAAAAGTAAAAATTAAGCTCAAGTGAGCCGGTGCGACCCTACCTGCTCTCCCCAGCCGCAGTGCAGGACTCTTGGGCCCCTGGTCCATGTTACCCCGTTAGAACAGGGGGAGGCGATGGAGGGAGAAAAAAGGAAAAGAACAAAAACTTTTCGCAGTGTCCCCCTCTCCCTCTCTTCCCCTCTCTCTCTCTCTCTCTCCCTCCCCCCCTCTCTCTCTCTCTCTCTCTCTCTCTCTCTCTCTCCCCCTCACTCTCTGGCACTGTTTTCGTCTCTCCCTCTTTTTTTTTTCTTTCGTCCTACAGTACTTTTGGGGCGAGTTGTAGGTTGAAATAATTCGACCCTTCCGCTCCCTATTGCACTCCCTGCAAGTGCTCAGTCAGCTGCAACTAAACGCTTTAGGTGGAAAAAAGGCTTCGGGGGGAAGCGTGAAATGATCACGCCGAGTAAAAGAGCCGCTCTCTCAATGTGCGCTCATGTCCTGTCCTTCTCCTTGCACGAGCTGCACACACAAATGCAACGCGCGTGCACGCTCACTTGCACGTATAAACACGCACGCATACATACAAACCTCCACCTTTCCCTGCAGGGCCGCGCCCCCCTCACTCGCATCTGTTACCAAGTTCCACTTTACTAAACTTTCCCGCCCCCGCACCAGCCTCCCTCTCTGCGTCTCTCTCTCACTCTCTCTCTCTCTCACTCTCCCTCTCTCCCCCTCTTTTATGTTAGATTCATTTCCTCTGGGACACACCTCATAGATAGCTGTGCAGGTTGTTAGGTAACGTTAAATTACGTGTGTAATGTCAGCGCAGGTTTTGTTAGTTTTCATTGGCTTATGAACCAGAGAAAAGTTGGTTCTTCAGTGATTTTATGTTCAGAGTCCTTTCAACAACTTCCACCAAACACGTTGTGAGAGTTTCTCCAAACTTCTCTCCTCCTCTTCTAGCACACACCTGACACGCACGGTGGTCTTTTACGCATTACGCACGATCGAGGAGCAGGAGCAGGTGCACACACGCAGGACTACAACTTCAGCTGTACCGCCCCGCAGTTGGAGAGCGCAGTCTTCTCCTGCTGCATGCACTGTGTGCAAAGTGTTTGCTACAAAACGGATAGTTCCGGTCCTCAGCTCTGATTGTTCGCAGACACACACCTGTGAACGCATAGCATTTAATTTAAATATTAATTTGCCAACTGAAAATTTCCACTCATAGTGATACTCACCGCTTTGTTTGGTTCTCACCGAGAACTTTATTCTCTGGCGGAACAATGACATTCAAGATTTCCTGAACATGTGTGTGCTCTCTTTGGCTCTTCCGTTTTACTAAAGCAAACATCAACTGAAGACACGGCTGTACACTCGTTTTAGACCGACTGAGAGGGTTTTACTCCCTTTAGTATAGAGTTACAGCCAACCTGCACTGTGTAAGCCCGGGGCCTCTTTTGTTTTACCATAAATAAAGAGAGGTAAAGCCCTTTCAAATAAAATAATGATAAACTTATTCTCCAAGTGAGTCATGACCTGAGTTCGTATTGAATACGTGGAAAGATTTGGAAATTTCTTCCGAATTGTCCCACCCTGTTCACACTTTCATTTACTAAATGATCTTTCTTCATCAGCACTGGTGTCACACGCCCACAAACAAACACACTGTAAAATACGTTTTAAAAATCACTTTTCTCTCTTGACTTAAATGTGCATATTTGCATATTTTAAAACAAAAGCTGGAAGTACATGAACTGCAGAAGTCTCTCTCTAGGGGAGAAATTATAATAGTTAGGCATGAGTGCGTTGAGCTAGACTTCAACTAACAGGCTAGAGTTTGAGCCCGAAGTCAGGGGTCTCTGCGAGATAGGCTAATACACCGATTCGGAGTCACAGAATGTTAACGCACCAGGTGAACATTTGTGGGAAGGACAAGGCAAATGAAGTGTAATTTATTGGGGCAAAACGCAGGGAATGGATGTTGAGATAAAGGCCACTTTCAGGAACAAAAATGAGAGATTTCAGCACAAATTCCAACAGCACCTGACCAACAACTGTGACAGAAGCAAATTCAGATTTTAAAGACTAATTTTTTATAGTGGCTGTGTCTCTTTCCTCGGTGTCTAACTTCTGCTTCATTCCCTCTGTTTCTCTCCTCCAGACAGCTGCAGGTCTCAGGGTTCACGCGCAGCCCCGAGACAATTGAGTGCGGAACAAAGCGCGAGACAGCGACCCATTTTGCTCTGCTTGTCGCCTCGCGCTGCAACACTACGACCCTGACCTTCGGCTCGCGCCCACAACATCAGAACATAAATAGCCTACTAATGTTTTCTATGTGATAGCGGGAAACAAAAAGGCAGGTAGAGCTCTGACCTTCAAGCGGAGAAACAGCCGCAGTTAAATCAATTGTGGACTGTTACCAGGAAAATATTCATCTATGCTTGAACTTCCAGCAGATGTCACAGGAGGGAATTCAAGTTAAACTGATTTTTATGTCAGCATGAGTGTGGTCAAAATGTTCATTATGTCCACAATTAGAAACGTTGTTAAAGTGAGTCGTTTAAAATCTACTTCCTACAAAAGACAAAGTCATATTTATTATTCATTGCCTCCTGCTGTCACTTATTAATTTGCTGTAGATTACATACACTAATGATAAAGGCCTACTGTTTTCAGAGTTGCAGCTTCGTGCAGCCTAAACCACGGAGTTATAGTCTAACTCTCTCTGGAAGTCACAAGATCTTGAATCCTCTGCAGACTTGCCTCATCCTTATCTTTTTTCATAGGCCTCCAAAAGTTGAATCTGTATGCATGGCCATGGCTGCGGATTATTCAGTGCACTTCCTAAACGTGTGAGCTCGCAGGAAAGACTGTACAATTATCTGCTACTGAGCGGTTTGAAGAAACCAAGTTATTATCTTCTGCATAAGTTTTAATTTGGCTTATTTTGCCAAGTTTACAGTGAAGTACAGGAAGATTAAATAGATTTGTTACAATTAAAATTTTAATTTCCAATTCATGAAATGGACACAGCTTGGGGGAAATTAGATTAATAGCTTATGGCTTTTAATTTTTTTTACTTGGTTATTAATTGCCACTGGTGTAAACGTGAATATCAGACATTTCTTTTACATAAACATCACACAATTTAGAAATACAACAGAGTTTTAATGATTTTAAGAAAAATCTTATATATTATTAATAGTATTATTATTATTATTATTGTTATTATTTTTAAATTATTATCAATATCATCTAAAAAATAAAAAGTGACATGTCTCACATATTTTAGAAATATATGCAGCCATTTATTGACATTATATTTTATACATTAGTTGCCTGTTTGAAGAGCCAAAAAGGCCAAATTATATATCAAGTACTTAACCTATAGTAATGTCTTTAACATTATTCTGAAGAGTAATAACATGTGTTTTTACTATGTTTGGGGAAGGAACAGTGTTTTATAATAAAATGTATTAATGTCCTGTCCTCATATTTGTTTCCTGCAGATTCAGTCAGAGTGAGAGGTCGCTCCACATTTGGCTTGCCTACAGGATCTCTTCAAAGAATTCGCCATAGTTTAGATATTAATCATCACTTGTTTGTTTTTCAGCCGCGTGCTAATTAATGTAGGCCTAATTAATATGAAGGGGAGTAGTTGGATCGGTGACCCGAGCTCTGACCGAGCGGAACCGGAAAGAATCGCATTAAAGCGCGAGACAGAAGAACTAAAGGGGCGATTAGAACAATGAGTAAACACGTAAACACAGGAGGAGATGCTCTCTGTCTCTCTGGGACTTTTGGCTTTCACCAGACCGTTTAAATTTAGTGTAAACTACAAGGAAAGACAAAGGTTGAAAGCCCCGCAGTTCTAAGGTTGTTTTTTTTTAGATGAATGCATGTGTGAAGAAGAGTGCAGAAAATATGTTGACTTCAAAGAATTACATTTGCATGACCAGTCTGCCTGTTCTTTGTAGCTCATAAACAGTCGTGGGAAAAGTGCGCAGAGCATATATTCAAATAAAAGTTGTAACCCTACAGTATGTAAAAATATTTCTTTATAAGTTTTTCCCTGTGATTTTTACTTTTACTAAGAGTGCATAAGTATGAACACAATGTACTTAAATGATTACAAATAAAGGTACTCATTATGCAGAGTGGCCCCTTTTATTATGTTGTTATTATGTCATATTATAGATGTTATAATATTGGATCACTACTGATTAACGTGTATTGTTGTTGTGGACCTCACTTTAACTCCCTGTGTTGTAGGCTATGTGGAGGCCACAGCTGTTAGACAAATGTAGAAGAGTAAAAAGTAGTAGACTATTTCCCTCTGAATTGTAGTGGATTACAAAGTTGCAGAAAATGGAAAGTAAGGTAAAAGTATCTCAAAATTCATATTTAAAGGTGCAGTGCTTGGGTAAATGTGCTCAGTTACTTTGTGTAATTTTTTCCATAATCAAATTATTCCATTATGTGTATAATTTACAGTGGCCCTCACTGACAGTCTCCCAGAGTTCACCACTCACAGATCACTCATTCCAATTTACAAAGCTTCTCTTCACTCACTTATACTTAATGTTAATTTTATTTTCTTGCTCGTGTGTTTGCTGCTATCCTGTCCGCTTCATATTCTGTATTATAAATGCTTTAATTGTGGAGCGCTGTAACTTTTGTTGAGGTTTCTAACTCATATACTCAAAGTGTATCACGGGATGGTTTTCAGAACACTCTTTAGTGTGTGAGGTAACAATACTTTTGAAGCAACTTTATCTCACATTGCTGTGCACTAAGACAGCGAAACCTATACTAACAATTGGGTTAGATGAAAAAGTTGCCTCTGTTGCTGATGTGTTTGTCTTTGCTTTCCTCGAAACACTCAGAGCTGCAGTGCTGACTGAGCTTACCTCTGTATCCCTGGGATTTAATTCAGGGTGGCGACACAAGGTTCCTTTTTTTTTTGCAGCCGTGGTGCCTGGGTGTTGCTGTGACTATAGAGGCTAGAAGGGGGCTTAAGGGCTGCAAGGCGGATTGAGAAATGGGACACATTATTTGTCCATGAAACATTATGTGACACAACATGACACCAGGCCATTTGTATGTAAAGGTAAACATTTCAGCGTGACGATTCAACAAG